CATTGTGATTCATGCTACCATATCAGTAATCTGGATGTCTGTAATCATCCGATTTTAGACCCAAAAAGGGAACAAGCAGGAGGTTTGGTTTGGCAGATAGTTTGTTAGCTTAGTGCCAAGCTAAAGCTTAATTGTGTGCTGGAAAGTACACTTAAATGACGCTTAGAGCCTGCAAACACTCTGAGAAGATGTGAATTGACTCTCGATATCAGCTATGCTCCTCAGAGAAGGTTGTCAAAGCATTGTCCTATGCCAATATATGTGCTAATATAAGCTGCTAATGTGTCACTGCTGCTTCCCAATCTCAGTGGATTTATTTATCTGCGCTTTAGCATAACTCAAAGTGACATGAGAGAGTTCCTCTGTCCCGATATGTCCTGCCTGCATTGTTAAAAATTCATTTGCCTTAGACTGGATGGTGAAATGAATAATTCATATACAGCATGAGTATATTTGTCAAAACCGAGTAGACAGTGTGGAATTTCCCCAGATCGATCACAGTTTAAAAGCCATTTGTAGAGAGTGTTGGTCTGTTCGGCTGATGGTCGGACTGGAGTCAGGAATTTGCATGTTCTTGATTTTTTTTATGTCCTCTGAACATGTCAAGAGATATGTACGCGCAGCTAGATACAGGCAGATGCAAGCTCCTCTTGCCCTGCTCCTGGCTGGCCAGATGCACGCCCTAGCAACATCTCAGTACAGCGCTTCACCTAGGCCCTGCATCTCAGCAGGCTTTTCCAAATGGCTGTGGAGGTAACCGGTAGGTTGCCAAAGTGAAGCGCTGCAGGAGTGCTAAGGGAAGATCTGTAAGCCTGAGAACTGTGGCTGAGTAATTTTAAGCCAGTGCTGCCCTCTGCTGAAAGGAATGCTCTTTTGGCTAAGTCAAATATTAATGCTTTGCAGTTACTTGAAAATGTGGGAGTGACTGATTAAAATTGTCTTATGCAAAACGATAGCATATATACTGTTTAGATGATTTAGTTGAAATCTGTGCTTTTGCTAAATAATATAAACTTTCCTGTTTGTTAAATCCAGACCATGCATAGTTGGGTAGGTGAGGATTTGCCAGCTAGGACAACTACAGCTTCCTCAGGGCCTGGTGAAGGAAACTTGGAAGAGAAATGTAAACAGGTAGACTAAATGCTGCGTGCACTAATTGCACTAATCTTGTTTGCGGTCTCAACCCAACTGTCTAGCTGTGCAAAAAGACCTTGCCTGGGAGCCTGAAAAAGTGTCTGTCTGTTAAATAACTTGTTGGCTTTGATGTGCTTTCCTGTTAACTTTCTTTTTGTTTGCAGATTGCTTTTGTTTCTCAGAAACAAAAGAGTTTTCTCAAACTCAGAGTTTGGGGTCCCCCGCTCTTATGGGGTTGACGATGTTGTGAGCCTCTTGTCAACATAAGCTCGAGCAACTTGCTGACTGCTTTCATGTAGCTCAGGCACTGGCAGCTTATTGTGCTTTGTAGATCAGATCAGCTACAGGGACTATCATAAGGCACTGGTATGAAGCTTAGATCAGGTCACTGACCAGGTTTCCCCTTAAAAATCAATGGATTTTCCCAATTAGCCTTGATCTTTTTTGCTTAATGAGCCCAAACTTTTTAAAAGAGACTTTAATGTATTTCAGCTAATTCACAGAGGTGGTGACTGCATTTTTATGAATCTGGCCATCACCTACTGTCTAGGTTTAAAAAAAAAAAAAAAAAAAGGAAAGAGAGAAAAAGCTGCTAGAGTATTTGTGTTCATTTAGCAGCTGATGCTGTTAGCATAACTTTTGCATTTGTATCAGCATGAAACTTTGGGAGCTGCTATTGGCCTGTGGAACCTGATGCCTAGCTGCATTGTTGCAAATAAAATAATGAGGTTACATAAATGATCCCTTTCAAATGATTCAAAACCTGACATTGAACCAGACCCCCTCACCATCACAGGCAGGCTCAGAATTCGCTGGAGTTTCTCCAGCTTAAGCCAGCAGAGAACGACCTCATTAAGATTAGGTGATCTATAGGGTCTACGTTATTTGTCACTGAAAGGAGAGGGATGGGTGTTCCACAGTAATGGACATAAAGGCAAGGGGAAATTCAGATACTGCTCGCTCTTCAAATTAATATCATCAAGCATGAGTGCTGCATGGGGAATGTTTGTACAGTAAGTACAGAAATAAGGTTTTCTGATTGCTTGTTTTTGATTTATTTATGCCTTGAATAATCTAATGAAACAGGAGCTAAGATAGTCAAAAATGACCAGTGAATCTGAGATTATGAAAATGTCCTCTAGTCAAAAGCTGAGCAGCAACGGAGTTAAAATTCTCAGAAGCGTTATTTGTGAAAGGTGTCCTTTGACTAGAGAGACGCAGATTAAGTAAATGAAACTTAAAGGATTATGAAGTGTGTCCAGATCTAATTAGCAGACAGGTGTAGATATGCTGCTCCTGATGCTCTTCATTACTGAAATAAAATTAACTATATTAGAACTGGAAGGTATTGCAAGAGTGAAATTCGGAGCATGTAGGAAATGTGATTTCGAGGCAGTGTGAGCCTTTCAGCTTTTGGGGTCAATTGAAACTGTAGTCTTGATTTTTTGGTAGCAGGGCCAAGACCCTTGTGTTTTAAATCCGAAGCAGGAAATCATGGCTGAACTTTCAGATAATAGCTTTTACAAGGCAGTTTTTGTCCGATATAAACAAACCTACAAATACAGTTGGACGGACAGAAAGGTGCCTCCAGCATCACTCTTAAGAATACACATGCTCTTGCGTCTTTCTCACTCTTTTTATGTGGGAGGTCTCCAAGGATGACCTTATTTTTAACCCATCTATGGGGTGTAAAGGGATGGAAAGGTATCTTGCATCCTATCTCACCTTGCTGTACCTTGGGCAGCTCCTGACTTACCCAGCCAATCTCTCTGGGTATTCTAGTCTCTGAGCAATCTCTCAATTTAAGAACCTTCTTGATAAGTTTCCTGTTTTTGTCATCTCAGTGAACATGAGATCTGCTTGTTCTGGCACAGAAGTGTGTGTCTGTTTTCTAACCATCTGCATGACTTCACAAATGGGATTGTACTTTGCCATGACTGTCACTTTGCATTCAGTTCAACATGCTGATTGTTGTACTGAGATCTCTTATTTGCAGTAATATTTTTATTGCAGAAAATATTATTACTGGTGAAAACTTGTGTCTTGGATCATATATATGTATATCCTTGCTGGATAGCAGGCAGAGTTGCCTGAAACTGAGGCCATAGGAGGGTAGGGTCTGGAGTTAAGAAAACCCTGAGGAGAGTTATCTCTCCCCGTCTTTCAACCTTGCATCGTTAGTGTGAAGTGAATAATGCCATGCTATGTTTCAGTTTGAGTCAGTGGGAGTTCTGGCAGGAGGCAGCCTGATCTATTTAGAATGAACAGTCCAGAAGACGTGTAGCTCATGGCAGTCCTTGGAAGCGCACTGAACCCTGGGTGCTTTGGTTTCTTTGACTATAAGAGAAGAATGCTACTTGCCAGACTTAAAGATCTGTAGAGAAAAGTTGTTTTTTAAATACAAAACTGTGTTACTGTGGGTTGAGTCAGATGAGCAGAAGGATCAGTATAGTTTGAATTGCAGTTTGCACACTGAAACAATGAGGTACTTTCATTCTGCTCCACTGTGAAAGGGTTTCTGTGTACTGAAGTTCATCATCTGCTAATGGATTCCACTTCACAGGGAACTGCAGATACACTTAATTACTGCAACTTTAAAAATATATTATTTACTAAAGTGCTTTCTCCTTTGAGAACAATGAATGTACAGTTGTCACCACAATAGTGAATTATATTTTTAACCCCTTTTAAGTTATTCTTTGTTTTTAGAAAGTTTTGGAAAGTTCCAGAAAGGCTCAGATACAAGTGTCTGCTATTCATAGGCCTGTATGCTGTTCCAAAATTGGAGCGCATGCTTCTCTTACTCTGACACTAAGCTACTGCTTTGTATCCAGATACATATTTTGGAGGTTGGTGTGTCAACGGCTTTACCCCAGCTGGAGAAGGTGGTGCTGCAGAATGCTCTTTGACTTTGTTTTTATAGCATCTCTACATGTATTCTCAAGGCAGGGGTGGAAATAAAGCAGAATTGGTGCGATTCACATGGGCTGTGTGCTGCTGGGGAAATCTAGTTAGGAACATGTGATGTTAATTACTCTTGCAGATCTGCACTCAGTGATTTATACTGTTTTCATTCCCATTTGATTCCATTGTCTTAGTTCAGGATATTTAGAGCTGTATGTTTGCTGATGGAGTTAGTGGAGATCCTGTTCCGGCAGTGACTCTTCCAGGCAGTTTGGGTGAAACCCTGCCTAGTGAAACTAATGGTGAAATTCCCAATTGTTTCAGCAGTACTGTGGTTTCACTTAGTGACTTTGGGGAGTCTGATGTGTTTACTGTGCTCTTGACGAGGGGAAGGTCCCTCTCGCTGTCCCAGTAGATCTTCCACGTGAGCCAGGGGCTTGTGTTGCTGTAACAGCCTCCATGGTGATGTTTGCAAGGAAAGGTGGGATAGCAGAAGCAGGGATTCTCTCTCTGAAACCAATTTGGACCCTCAGGAAGAGGAGAGGTTGGGTAGAAACAAAAACTATTCCCTTTCGTACTTAAAGAAAAGGTGTGGGAATAGCAAATTACACTCCCGGATTCTTCATACTTACCTGATCTGAGCCTCTGGCTTTCTTTTTGATTTCTATTAATTTTTGCAGTAACTTGTGGAATGGAAATGAGTGTGCAGGACAGGAGGACTAGCTGTGAGCAGCTGTACATCCCTGAGAAATTCACATAAATGCAAAAATGTATTGTAAGCTGTAAGAACTGAAAAGTTAACTATGGTAGCTAATATCTCCCTGTGACACATCCAAAATGTGCTTGTCTACTGTGAGAATCTTTTTAAATGAAACACTTGTATCATTTACCATAAGGATCATTCCAAAGAGAACGCGTACTCAGAGAATAAGAAGCTGACCGTCTTTTCTTTTTCTTTTCAGGCAGCACAAATAGTCCTGATTTCTCTCTTTGAATTGAACACGCCTGAGTTTACCATGTTACTCGGTGCCTTGCCAAAAACATTCCAGGACGGTGCTACCAAGCTCCTGCACAACCACCTCAAGAACTCCAGTAACACCAGTGTGGTGAGAGGCCCTTGTCCTTGCGGACAGCAGAGCCCCAAAGACAGCTGCTTGTTGATGAGCTGTTGCAGATGCTCAGTAGCATGATTGTCATCTTACTTAAAGCAATATTGCAGCAGAGCCTTCTGATTGATGTTGCTTTGATAGGGACTGTTAAAACAAAAAGCTCAGTTATTTTTAAGTTTTTAATACCATCACAACCAATGCAGTTAAAAAAAAAAAAAAAAAACACTGAGAAGCACATGAAAATTGGTGGGATTTGTGCTTTCAAGTCACTGTGCTTTTGAAAATCATGCCAGTAATGACCTTTTGTTAAAACAAAGGCCCTGAACCCACAGACTTTCTGGGTGTGACACTAATGTTGAAATCAGTTCAATCAGTCTGTTAAGAAGTTTGCAGGTTGTTTAATTTGACCTAGTAGGTCTCCTCAGTCTGTAACTATTATCTTATGTTTTTGTTAAAGCTCTGGCCTATTTTTGTTTCCCTGAAGGAAGGTGTTAGTAGAGGAGAATACAAGTGTGTTTCTAAACTGCCTTTTTCCTTACAGCAGCAAGGATTAGAGCATTTTTTTGCCTTGTTTGTGTGAAAATCCTGTGAAATTTTCTGGAATTTGCATGCGCTCAGATGGGAGGGTTCACAGAGACAAGTTTTGTGTAAGCTAGAACTGCAGCATTAGGCTTCTAGGAGAAAGGTCTGGATTTGCTAGTCCCTTCCACCTTGTTCAACTTCCCCTTGTGTGAAGTGGGTCAGAAATGAGAATATTTTTCTGATCATTTTGCTGTGGTATAAATGATTATGCAGGCCAGTGGAAAATGATAAATTATATTGCAAACTTATGCTCCTAGCAAGCACAATCAGAATGCTTTAGACAATGTGGAAAATTGCTGTGTAATTAAATTGCTAAATCACCAAGGTAATAGTCTACATGCTCTGGAGCATGGAGAATAGTGTTTGAGGAGCTGGGTAACTTGGTGAATTGATAAACCATTTCCCTGGCATTACTGCAGGCCATCCGCTCAGCATGGTTAAAATTTCAGGTTTCTGTAGAAAGTTTCAGGTTTCTGCACTTTCTTGATTCTCAGAGCAGTCCCTTCAAGAGCATGTTGCTGTCTACATGAAGCATGGTTTTCAAAGCACTCCTCTAAGTACATTTATACGTCCTGCATCTGCAGTTTGAAGTATAGCTGCAGCAGGCATGTGAGCTTTGTTCCTGAGCTCTGTGTGGGCTCTGGAAGGCAACCTTCCTTAGGTTAGATATACCATACAGTTTCTTAGTGAAAAAGGCACATATTTGCTTTGGTTTGCTTCTGCGCTCGACTCTGCCAGTTCAAACTGCAGATTTTTAGACCAAGAGCCAGCATCAAAACTTGACTAAGCTTGCCCAGGGCAAATAAAGGCAGCATTTGGACCTGTTGTTGTTTTTGTTGTCCTCCTGTTTTTGTGTACTGCAACACACTGCTAATCCCTGTCATCTTGCTCCTTTGCCAGGGTTCCCCCAGCAATACCCTTGGTCGGACTCCTTCCCGGCACTCCAGCAGCAGAACTAGCCCCTTAACTTCACCAACCAACTGTTCCCATGGTGGACTGTCTCCAAGGTAATGTGGCGGGTTAACTAAAGCACTAACAAAATCTTAAAGGATTTCAACATGAACATGAATTTCCAGAATGACTCATTTTCAGATCAGATAAAGGCCAAAAGATTTTAGTGATTTCTCCTAATGAACAGAGCTTGAACATGATAATACATGATTAGAGTTTGACTTCAGTGTTTCAGTCCTTGAGTTATCTGTGTAATCTTAATTTTTTTCTCATAATATTCATTTTTTTTCCACGAGAATCACACTTCTGGGTTTAGTAGAGGTAATATTAAATGGCATTAGAAACCAGCTGGTCTTTAGGTTGCAATCATCCCAAAGAAGATGAAGGCATTCAAATAAGGATTTTGGGATGTGCCTTTTTTTTTTTTTAGGTGTGCCCTTGTGACCAGTAATTCACCTGACTTTAGTGCTATGCTTAAGTAGCTGAGAGAAAATGATAAGTCTCCCCTATTGCCCTTTTCTGCTTTGTGAGGATGCAGAGGAAGCAGAGGTAGTGACCCTATTTCAACAGTGAGCATTTCTTAAATCAGGCAGAGGGAAACATGCTGGGCAAGAACTGCAGTTCATAGTCCAACACAGCGACTTAAACTGAAATCTGTTGATCAGTCCTGTTGTAATTTGCTAAAGCTTGTCTGGAGGGATGCTTAGACACATGACTTTCCATGTGTGAGGAAAAACAGAAATTTTTAGTCTTCAGTGAGAAGTTATACTGGTTCCAGCAGTATATCAGGAACACGTGGGGCTTCCCGAGAAAATTCTGGTTATCTAAATATACCTTTGTGCCCCTAGATCTATTGTAATTGAAAACTAGCGTGAGAAGTTGAAAGCTAAGGTGGAGGTGCCTACTGTAAGGTTTCCCCACAAAAGTTTCATTAAGAAAATAAGTGGTAGAGTTTCGGGGGAATGGTTCCAGTAACGCTGCTTCCTTTTCTCCTAGTTGTAGCATGGTTGGCCCTGCTGATTTCTGTCATGGGAAGTTATAAGTTGAGATCTGTCTCCTTGTGGTTATGTTGTGGCTATACTGGCCGTGCTTGCGTGTGCCACCTGTGTTTTAAATCCATGAGCTTTTGCCATGCTTTTTTGGGGTTTTGCCCTTGTGAGACAACTCTTCCTTGCCACTTCCTCACTCCTCTTTAGTTTATCTTTGCATTCTTCTCACCTCTTGATTTCAGGATGTATATATCAAAATATTGATTAAAAGCCTTCAGCTTCAATACTTTGGTTCAGTATTTCATTGTTGCTGTTTTCTGGAGATGTTTTCCACATAATATGTTCCCAAGGAATAGTTAGCAAGGACACGGGATTCTAGAGTGTTCTGCCATTAAAAGATGGCAAGACCAAAATTGTCACTGGTGTAGTGGTCCAGGCATTTTCTTTTGAAGACCGTCATTCTTTCAGCTTCCTGTGGAGTTCCTGGAGATGCTGATCCAAAAATTTAGGTTTCTATTCAAGTAGTGCGTCTTGTTTCCTTACTGGATTTAGTTATTCAAGAGTGATATCTAAAAACTACTCCATAATGACAGGTAAAGGTGAAAACTGCTGCAAAAGCCATTAAAAACACTGGGGAAGGGATGTGGTAGTTTTTTGGGGTTGTGGTGATTTTTTTATTTTTATTTTTTATTTTTATTTTTTAACTAAGCAGTAATAGTACCACTTGCAGAAATAATGGCAAGTGCCACAAACCGGCGGTGGTAGTTTCTGATGCTCTGCTGGATTGTGTCCCTCTTGAAGGCAGCTTGCGTAGCACTGTTTGAGCATGGCCCTGACTTACAGAACAAGGGAGAGTTTAGCTCTGTTTTTGAAGAGTAAATTTGCTCCCTTTAAGGAAAAAAGGCTTTGGAAGATGTGCTAACAGGTTATGGGAAGTAAGGCATACTACAGTACCGTAAGTGGTGTTGGTATAGATGCTTCTGTGTCGATGTTTCCGTGCTAAACTCTTGTCATTTATGATTCATCTGTCATGTAAAATATGACTTTTAAAAATCTCAAACTTGAAAATAAGCAAGGCTGAGTCCTGGTAGTGATGTCAAAGGGTAAAGATTCCCCCTATTTCTCTATATAGCCCGGCTTTGACACTAGACTTGGCTTTAAATTGTAAGGGGTTCTTTCCCGAAGGGTTGTACCAAGGCTGTGCATGCAGCTCACTACCACTTCCTGGTGTGATCCACACACAGGCCTCGCTCATGTTGCGTGTGCCTATAGCTTGAGTGCAGTCAGTTGAAGGACTATCTCCAGTTCTTAATGCCAGCCTTCGTTTTGGAGATGATGCTTCTCTTTGGGCTTACTCTTGATACACAAATTGGAGGAGTCATATATAGAAACATGCATGTCTCTACTAGGAATTCTAGCTGTCCATGAAGAAAAGAGAGTTGGGGTCCAGTAGGAATACAGAAATGCTGCTCAGCTGCTCTCCCCTGGTACTGAGAGGTGGAGGCCATATCCTTAGCTAGCATTAAGCAGCAAGCCTTCACTGATACTGACTTTCTATAGTAGCTATGTAAGCTATCACCCTTAGGTGATATTGCTTCTCCCATGTTATTGCCATCACAATTGATTTCCTGATTTTTGTGTGTGTATTTCAGCTATTTGGATTGGGGTGTTTTTTTTGTTGTTTTTGTTTGTTTGTTTGTTTGTTTTTTATGGTCTGGTTGATAGACTTTGCCAACAACTCCCTTGCTGAGCGAGGTGATAGCATGTGCTCAAGTATTCCCTGATGTTAGTGTCTTCAGAAGGGAAACTTGCTTACAGGGCCTTGGCCAAAGTTGTTCCTCCTCCTCCTTTCATTTATTGAATCCAATCCTGCTTCATCTCACTAGAAAGTATCCACTGTTTGTCAGTTGCTTCCCTGCATTTGTAGCTGCTTTTGTTGTCTTGATAGTCTTGGTTTTGGGGCAGAGGAATTATGGAAGAAAGATCTTTTCTGGAGGAGAAAAGCAAGGGAGGGCACTTTGGAGGGTTGAAAACAGTAGGAAAAATACACTTGTGACAGAGGAGAAAGAATATTTCCTGGGCAATGATCAGATGAATGGCTTGAGTTTGTGTTGGGCAGAGGAAATTTGAGATTTAGTAAGTGATGTAGTATATTAAAAAAGGAAACACTAAGTTGTGAATTCTTCCAGTGTAAGAATACCATTTCGGTTGTGAAATGATCTTCTGTAAACCAAGAAGTGGCACGTAGGTTGTGAATTTATCTGGAATTACTTGGGATATTGGAAGGAATGATACCAAATGAGTAGGTTTGCTCTACCGTTTCTGCCTTTACTGGTAGGCCAGGAACACGTCTTTAATATCCAAGTCTTTTTTAGTGCGTTTCACTGCTGGATCTTTAAGCAACTTAAAATCAATATTGTGTCAAAGCTGTGAAAACTGAGACTTGGGTGAGAAAGACTAGCATCAGCTAGAATCTCATTTCTGCTAAACCTAATCCACTGCTCTGGGAAGTATGTCACACTAAATAGTAGCACAGCAATGTAAATGGTGGCAGAATTTAGCTCATGTTGATATAGTTACTTTATTAAAAGAACAGATTTAATCTGTTCAAAGATCTTTAGAAGAAATGCATCAAAGTAAAAAGCTAATAATTTTATTTGGCTATGTAAGTTTGGGTGCTTGCTTTTCACTGAAAATAGAAAATGCCATTAAAAGTAATTTTTGATAGTTTCGGTATTAAGTTGAGCAAGGAAAAAGTATTAAAATAAGCCACCCACCTTATGCAATAAGGACAAGCCTGCATTGTTTGGCCCATTTGCAGGTAGGTGAGATCTGAGGTGTGCGATTTCTAATGAGCAGTCTTGTCTGGTACGTATCTGTAATAGTTGTGTGTAATAGCTTTGTGCTTTGTTTGCTGGCTAACAAGTGAATTTCTTAACACCACTCTTCAGATGAGTTTTCAACTGCCATTGCAGCTATTCGCACTAGAGCAATTCTTGACTTGTTTACCATTTCTGGTCTTGCAGCTTCTTTCACTTAGGCATACACGAATATAACTTTCCCAGGTAGCGTGCTTAAACTCAATAGAAACAAAGTAGCATCCTGAATACTCCACCGGCTCAAGCATCTGGATTCTCATTTAGAAGATGGTTTGGGAAATTCATGTAACATAAAGGCAGCAGGACAAAAACAAAGACCTGTATTTTGGACAAATTTGCACAGCATTGGATGCCTTGAACTGTATCAAACAGTGACCAGAAAGGGCCTCATACAAGTTTGAAGAGAAGTCTGAACTGACTCTGAGGCTTCTCAGGGAGCTGGATTTCATTTAGTCTTTTCGGATTTGTTTGCTGGGACTTTGGCCGAGCCCCTGATTCACGTGATACGTTTACGCTCTGGACTGACTTTCGTTTACTGCACGTTTGGGGTCAGTTTGAATTTGGTGAAATAGCAGTGTCTCTTAAGCTCTGCGATGGCTCAGTGCTTGTTGATTGTGGAGGGATTGCAGCTTCTTACTCGAGGCACCTGGTGCCAAACTTCACAAGCTCCCCTTGGATATCTGATTAAAATTCAGCTCCAACCCCTTTCTTCCAGGGAAGTTCTGTTGCTTGCAAATACCGACTTAGAGTGTGAATCCAGACACATGGTCAGAGGTTGTTCACCTAGAATATTTTAAGAGTTGTTTGTAGAGGCTATATGCATATATGCAATTTATTAGTTAGGACAAGCAGGGACTATTTTTTTTCTGTGTGAATGGTATCATTACATTAGAAATAAGTGAAAATTAATTAAAAAAAAAAAAAAAAGACCAAAGCAATGACTTGTGGGGCTCAATGGAGTATTCTTGTTTAATTTTGTTTCTATTAAATTTCTCTCTCTCTCTCTTTCTCCAAGGCAGCATGACAGCACTAAGCCACTCAGATTATAGTTTCTTTTTTTTCTCCCTCTCCTTTCTGTTTTCTCTCTTTCGTTTCTCCTCTGATCACTGCAGTCGGTTCTGGGGTTGGAGTGCAGACGGGCTGTCGAAGCACCCCCCTCCCCTTTCTCAGCCTAACTCCATCCCCACTGCTCCTTCCCACAAGACTTTCAGACGCTCTTACTCTCCCAGGTAACAAGCTACCTGTTAAACCAACTTGACTGAGGTGTCACAGTATTATTTACCTTTCACACAAAGAAATTTGTTCAAAGAGGGACATAAGATTTCCAGAGTCTTTGGTTGAAAGAGGCGATGGGATGATGTTAGCTTTCAGAGAGGATAGATGGCAGTCAGCCATTTGTTCCCTCTGTGGGGAAGATGTGCATGGAGGTGGAAAAACTCAAATTTTTCCACATTATTTCTCCCTGCTGTGTTTTGTGAACGGGTGCAAGTTAAACAGTTGGATTCCAATGCAGAACACAGTTGAGCACTTTCTGCAGGCGCTGGTTGTGTTATGAGGGTGTGGGCCAGGTCTTTCAACTTAAATACACGTGAGTAGATTCAAACAGGCACTGATCTCCTAGTAATTTCGTATATTCAGTAGCTGGAACGCCGAGGTTGATGCTTGCATACGTGATTTCACCTGCTGCTTCCATAGTGTGATTGTGGAACATCATGGAATATTGTAGTATGGAAATTAAAATGGTAATATTGTGTCCTTGCCATAAAAGGCTTCTATCATTTATTTACTACTAATTTTGAAATCTCTTCCTGCCCCTGTGACCTCACGTTTTGTTCCTGTGTGGGGCTTTAATCATTATAATAGACTAAATCTGTCTAATGGTTTTAATCAAAAACTTTTGAATCCAAATTTCATTTCAGACCCAACTCTTAAGTTAGCTTCCTTGGATTTTTAAGTTTATACCCTGCCAACAGGCTTTCTATGGATGTGCTTTCTTCTAACTTGAATGTGACTATTGTCTGAGGAGGGACTATATCGTATTTCCTTGAAGCAAGAAGTTCCTAACTGGAAACTGTTGAAACAAAACAAGTGGTTCTTTGAGGGCTTAAAATCTGAGACCCTGTAACGTCTCCTGAGACAGAAAATAGAATCCCACAGTCTGTATCTCTGCAGATTTTAAACATTACATCCATATTCTGACTGTTCTAGGACACTGAGAAAGCTATGAAAAAGATCCATGTTGGTTTTGGGGTTAAGCTAATCAAGAATAATTATTTTTTATGCTTTCATTAATCCACTTTGAGGTTTGGAATAACTTGACACACGTCCCAGCCCCAAGCCTGAAAGCGCAAGGAAGCAGGTCACTGTGTACTGCGTGAGGGATGCTAAATTTTTGCTTGCACACAGTTTGGGTTGGAAACTGAGTAACGGTTTAAGGAAATGAAATGTATTTTGTGTCAGACCAGCAAATTGCAAAATTATATCTTGATAAACTTGTAGAGGGCTGTATTGTTTTAATGCAGCATAAGATGGAAAATAATGTTGTGACATCCCTAAAAGCTGCTCATCTCTACTCACTTCTTATTCATCCTGTGACTCTCCTAGTTTTCTGCATGGGTCATAATTTTTTTTGTGACTTTTCCCCCCTGGAAGGTGGATGTAGTTCCATTGTATTTTTTTTTTCTCTTCCTCCCCCACCATCATGTTGTCTATGAAGTATTCCAGCACGCATACTGGCAGTAGAAGTGTATTAAAAGTGTATGTTTACATGTAGAATTTTATTTTGTATAAAACATAGCCGTGATGGGATCTCTTATACAGGCTTACTTGTGACTTACGGAATCACTGGAATCTTTAGATTTTATTAAACTTTGAAAAAAGTATCCGATCATTGGCCCCTTCAGATCAGTGATACTTTGTTCAGAAGTTGCCTTAGTCCTTTAGCATTGCAGAGTCTGTACTTTCATCTATGTTTTGGGAGCAGTATAAGGGCAAAATTTGTCCCTGAGGAAACCAGCAATTATAGCAGAAGACTGACTGTCAGTATTCCTGAAACTCTTTATCAGTTCTGCTATGGATTTTGTTATGTGACCTTTGGTAAGTCATTTCATCTCCTGGTATGGATATACAGTTAAAATCACACATATACCTTCTAGAATAACAGTTTCTTTGCTTAAATTTTGGATGAGGAACCTGTTGAAATCTTTTAATTAAATATTTAAGTTTGAGCTCAATATTAATACTAACAAGGCAGTATGAAACAAAGATTGTCCCATTCATGCCTGATACTTATTTAAAAAAAAAAAAAACTGCCTTCACTTTTCTTTGTGTGGAAAGCAATTGCAGTGCATTAGTGTCATTCAGTTGTCTGAAAGGCCATAAATGCTCTGACTTATGTAGATTTATAAACAACTCTTGTTTCCTGGTCTTGGTCTGTCGTTTAAGTGGTTTCTTTTTCTTCCCAGCCAGGCCCTGCCTGACAGACACTGGTTAAAGTTCTGGAGGAGTTACTTGGTTTCTTTGCCAGAATACATTGTGCTGATGCTTGTGTGACTGTAGAGCAAGCGTGTTGCTTGGGAACTAAGGATTATGCCTATTTTCAGTGTGTGTTAATCCCAAAGGAATCGGGCAGCACCAATCTTATCCTTTGTCTGAAGTTCTTGAGTCACTTTCAGAATAAGTCATAGTTTTAGATAATTAATATCCTACTTTTAGTTCTATTGAAGATAGTAGCTGTATACCCAGGATTCAAAAGAGATTTTCAGTTCTTGACTTCTCCCCCCACCCCACCTCTCGGGGAATCTTTCTTTTGTGGAAAAGAAACGCAGCTCTTTGTTCAGCCATCTTCCTCCAAGCCCATCCTGTCATCCTTCCCAAACTATTAAGAAATAGTAATTCACCCCTGTAGGGAGCTACTTCTTGCCATTTATTGACAAACAACTTGATGTAAATGTCTTAAATTATTTTGGTTTGTTTGCTTCTGGCTCTGCCAAGATCCTAGACTTTCTTAGAGAAATTGTTCTCAGTTACTGATCTCTTCATAAAAATCTCTCTTGGAAAACTGACTTAGACTTGAAAACTTTTCTTCTCCCTGGATAGAGCAGAGTCCTGCCAACAAAGCCTTTTAATTTTATTTTCTCTAAGCAGGTAGGAGCTTCTCATAGAGCAGAGTCCTGCCAACAAAGCCTTTTAATTTTGTTTTCTCTAAGCAGGTAGGAGCTTCTCGTCCTAGCCACGTATTTTATATCATCTGTCCCTACATGTCAGACACTTCTTTTTTCATGGAACTTAATTTTGAATAACTCACTAAGAAGGCCCAAAACTTGTGTGCCTTTACACTGTTGAGGAATTTCTAACTGGCTGGCTGCAGGAAAGCATCAAATTTGAGTGCGAGTTCCCAAACTTAGGTGCAATACTGAAATGCTTCTGCTGCCAAGGCATCATGGAAGTGGTTCTGTTTTTGCTATTCTGTGACTGAAAACTGGAATAAATTAGACCAAGTTTTATGTCAAGGTACATGTTTCTTTCCATTCAAATTCTGCACATTTAAATCCATTGACAGAATATATTTGACATATGAAACTTAAAACTAAATTATTTCATTTCTACCAACTGTCACAATCCTTTGATTCTCATTCATTTATATATGTGTGTGTAAATATATATATATGTATGTGTGTATATATATATATATTTATATATATATTTTTTTCCTTTTCAGTAACACTGTTACCATGCTAGGGATAGGTTTCTGATTTATAGAAGATAGGACGCTTGCTACTGTGGAATGTAACAAACACTGGGCCCGATTTCCCGTTATTCATAGCTGTATAACTCCATTGATTTTAGTGGAGCTTCTCCTAGATTTACCCCAGTTTGAGGGGGAGACTCAGACCTGAAGTCTGCTTGGATTCCATCCATATGTTTTTGTTACAAGTCACTGTTAGAAATGGTATGCCAAATCATCTCTTTTCAACTTGGCATTGTTTCTGTTAAAAGTTAGTTGATTCCAGTTTCATCTGTAACATTTCATATACGTTTGATCTTTAGTATGCTGGATTATGACACGGAGAACCTAAATTCTGATGAAATCTACAGCTCTCTTCGTGGAGTCACAGAAGCAATTGAAAAATTTAGTTTCCGTAGTCAAGAGGACCTGAATGAGCCAATCAAACGTGATGGAAAGAAAGACTGTGACATTGTAAGTATTTGATTAATGTCTGAGAACTGGTGAAATTTTAAAGCACTGCTTTCAGACCTGGCTTTGGGTTGTTAATTGGTGTCCAAAGTCCAGTTACTCTTTTTTTTTTTTTTTTTTTTTTTTTTTTTCCCTTTCAAATTTGTTTTTTTTTTTTTTTTTTCCCCTTGCAAATGAGTTTTGCTCATTGGTTACTAACTTCTTATCCCTAAATTATTGGGTCCCAGGTCTGTAGTCTCTTGCTCACTTCAAACTCTGTTTCATCTCCTGTGAAATGTGGTTGGCTGCATTTCAGTGAGAGTCTCCTGTAAGAAGAAATCAATGTTAGTGTTTCTCGGCCTCAGCGTTACTTGGTGATGGCTTTTTCATGGAATGTGTGTAGGCAGGTCTGTAACAGGAGAAGTTAGTTCTTAAAATGCACTTGTAGTTTCCCTCACGTGCTTAGTGGTTCATGTATAGGAAGGATGTATAACCACTTTGAGCGTCTGACTCTTACGGTACCTTATGCTGTTGTGAATGGTGACAGTTATCTGCCATGTGAGATGGTATTTGTTTTAATGAATTATGCGGACATCAGAATTTACAAGAATGTAAAGAATATTTGTTGCTTCCTACCTTGACAAATGCAAGTGTAGATTAAATTGTCCTTCAAAACTAAAAATTCTTATAGTGATCTGAGAAGACTTTTCTCTCGGACCCTCCTATTTTTTGTTTGGCATTAGCTTGGTAAGAACCATCCAACCTCCTTTATCGGTGCAGTTGTGATGTTTTGTGAGAAGGCTATTGCTTTGATTTCATTTCCCTTTAAAATAAACCCTCTTTCACGTACTGCTCCAGTAATTTCCTTCTTAAAAAACTGGTCCTGTCCCAGAACTCGCGATTTTTTGCCAGCCTGTGCAGTGTTAGATATATTCACTTTGATATAGAAACGTTAGCATAACTTTTTGTGTTGTCTCTGTGCTTGTGAGTTGTGGTTTTTTTTTTTTTTTTTTTTAATTGAAACAGTGGTGTTTACACAGGTAAGGGAAAGAAGTGGTAGTCTGAGTTTTAGTGAAGTAGTTAGGTATGTGTAAAAGATTCTATGCAAAATTGATTATGCATCTTCGTATTGGTGAGTGGACTCCAAAGGGCTGCAGCTTCCACTAAGTTTGAATAGCCTCATGCCTTTTCTATCTATTTGGTTCCCCAGGTGTCTCGAGATGGTGGCCTCGCGGTGCCTGCCAGTGATGTCCGCGGCGGCAGTGACATTGTGGAAGGGGGCAGGATGGCTCTAGATAACAAAACCTCCCTTCTTAACACCCAGCCTCCCCGCGCCTTTTCAGGACCCCGTGCTCGAGAGTACAACCCCTACCCTTATTCCGACACGATTAACACTTATGACAAGACTGCCCTGAAGGAGGCAGTGTTTGATGATGACATGGATCAGCTTCGGGATGGTTTGTATCTGTATCTTGTAAAACTGCAAGCAGCTTGTTCTGTTCTTGGTGTAGTTACGTATGTGTAGTGCTCTCAGATACAGTCAGATACAGTGTGAGGGTACGTTGTGTTTTAGTTTGCACCTGAGACAAGGCTTGGCACGAATACTCTGTTTTCCTGTGACAGCTGAACCTGCTCTGGGGTTATTGAGAAAATATACTGCAATTTGGGCGTTTTTGTCTAGTGTTTGCATCAAACTAGTCCCTTAAGAGTCTAAACTAAATGCATTTCTGGGGACCCTGTTTTGTGAACTTTCTACTCTTTAGGACTGAAGCCACTCACTAGGTCCATAACTTAAGTGTATTTCACTATACGTAAATAATGCTGCACCTTAGCTTTATTCCTTTGCAGTATATTGGTGAGTCACCGTACTGTGATCTAAGGGTCATACTTTGGGTGTGTAAGTCTAGGATAAACTGTGGCAATTCTCATCTTGTAGAATTAATTATTGGGATTGGATGAAATTCAGTCATCTCCTCTTCCTGGTTCGTTAGAAGCCAGGTACAGATTCATGAGCTGTGAGATGAGCTCGGGTGAAATTGTGGGCTAATCGGATCCTCTTTCCTGCTTGATTGAGGCCACCTGGGATTTGGTGCCTTTTTGGGGGCCTGCTGTTACATGCACTTTGTTCTGTACAGGGTTAGTAATCTTAATGTCTTTGACTTCCCTTCCCCCTCCCCTCCCCGTTTCCCCAAATGACTTGTTGTCATTTGTCCTAGAAGTACCCATTGACCATTCTGATTTGGTGGCTGATCTTCTGAAAGAGCTCTCTAACCACAATGAGCGAGTGGAGGAGCGGAAAGGAGCCCTCCTGGAACTGCTGAAGATCACGCGGGAAGATAATCTTGGAGTCTGGGAGGAGCATTTCAAAACTATTCTGCTCTTGTTGCTGGAAACACTTGGAGACAAAGATGTGAGATGCAGATTTTTGTCTCAATTCTCCTGTACATTGCTTCATCTAGGGTGATAGTTTCTCCACGTTAATTTAAATGAAATTTGCTGCAGTTGTACTGCTTGTTACCACTTCAGTATTTCATCAGTGCTATTGAACTGCTCGAGTTTTCCTGTGAAGGTTATTGACTCTGCTTTCATTGTCAGTGTGTTAAATGATGAATTTCAAGCTACTCTGAAGTGTACCAGTTTTTTTTTCCCCGCTCTCCTGGGTGTTTAGTAATAAGTAGTTACGAAATTGAACTAGAATGAGAAAGGAAGTGTTTTTAACTTTAAAATTATCAAGATTCCAAAAATTGTTCTCCTACAAATTAGATGAAAGTACAACCTCTTAACTATATTCCCACCTCCCCTTCTCCCCCCCCCCACCCCCCAAAAGAAGCAGAGGAGAAGAAAGGCACCCTAGAACAAATGAATTGCCTCAGAGATGGGAGATGAATATTTTCATTTTTACACTGTGCGTGAGTTAAAGATCCCAGCTATTATGTATCATGGGTTGATCTCTGTCTCCTTGCAAAAGCTTTAACAAGGGCAAACTGCTTTTACAGGGGATCTTGTTCTAAAGTATTAAAAAAGCTGCAGATGTACACGTAAACTGCTGCACTGCTGTCAAAGCTTTCTATTTGACAGTAGTTGACCAAAGTGCAAATTTATAGGCTAAACTTCTGCTTTGCTCCGCTGGGCTATTTCTTCAGCTTGCAGCACAATGCGATTCACTAAAGCTCAGCAACCTGACCGCTCCTTCAAATCAGAGCCTTAGTCTATCTGAATGTTGCAATATTTAGGCTTAAATGCACTCACAGTGCTGCTTTCCATTTAACCTGATCCAAAGTCAGTTGTGTGCTGCTTGTTCTCTTTGTAAAGCATATGGCACTTTTTAAAGTGTACATTTAATTCTGAAGTAGTGTAGGTGGCTGATGTTTGCCCAGTGACTGTTTGTAGTGTAAGCACGTAACATGTATCATTACAGTGTCATCACAGATGTACAGGAAGATATGGTGGCTTTATCTAAGCAGAAATGAAAGGCTCAGTATAGGATAAACTAAGTATTCCTTTGGGAATATTTAATAGAGTGTATTTGGAATGGCCTCAATTCAAAACCTTAATATGACAGTTATAAAGATGAAACAAGTTTTATAAATACCTCCTTTATATCAAAAGATCATTAGCAGGATTAACACACAGGCCAGAGTGACTACAATGACTGACTGTTCTTGAAAGTAATTTCCATAAGACTTACAGGAACAGAGTTGGTTTACCGCATCAGTATATGAGAAACAGCTTTGGTGCATGGATGGAGCCTGGTTTGATGTAGGCAAAGCTAAGCGAAAGAGGAAGAGCCAAACAAGTATAATCTGAGTTTCTTTGTAGATTCGTGTAATACAGGCGTGCTACTTTGGGTACAAACTTGTACTTCATTACCAAAAAGTCTGGAATTAAAAAAATAGGAATCATTCTGATTCTTTCCTGTATTGGTGAGAACAGTCATTTTGTGTGAATTTTTGTGCAGTAGAAGGCAATGAGATCAACTCAGTTTTCAAGTATATTGATTACACTGTTTGCTCTGCTGGAGTTGGTGGAGCAATGTAAGGCTTCTGGTGGGGTAGGGAGCCATCAGAATTTACTTTAAACTAGAATTTTGAGAAATTATTTTTAATGTGGCTTTCTCTTGACGCAGCATTCGATAAGAGCCCTGGCACTAAGAGTCCTGAGGGAGATCTTACGGAATCAGCCAGCCAGGTTCAAGAACTATGCTGAGTTGACCATCATGAAAACACTGGAAGCACATAAGGATTCCCACAAGGAGGTGAGTGAACCTTGCAGCGTTACTGCTGGGAAAGCAATACGGACTTACTGAAGAAATGTGAGATTTAACAAGTAAACGTGTTGACCAGCCTTGACGGTAGAACAGTTTGACATGAAAGGTCCCCAAGTATGAAGGGGCAGCATTTACGCTTGCTGAAGCAGGAAGAGAAAAATTTTGAGACTGAAACAGCTGTTTAAGTGGATTAGGAGCTATCTGGGGTTGTAGGCCATCTTTATTTATCCATTCCCAGGGCTTCATTGTTGTTTTTGGGATGGGTTGAGGCATAAAGTACATATTTGATAATTTTGTAGAGCACATTAAGGGCACTGTAGTCCCTACACCTGTACAGGTAAGGATAAAAAATATGCTGGTGAGCGCAAAACCAGCGCACAGGTCGAACTGTGCGTGAAAAGAGAATGATGAAGTTGGGGCCATTCTGGCGGACTGGTGGATAACAGCAGAAAATGGACAAAGGGGGCATCCTGCTGAGGAGAAAGAAATGGGGCAGAGGGGAAGAGGCAAGGGGAAGGGTGACTTGCATTTTCCTGTTGTGAAAGCATTCGTATGTAAAATTCAAATTAAACTATTCGGCTAGAGTAAAATAAAGGAACATCAAAACTGCATTTGAAGTAGCAGACACCTCTGTAGACTGGCTTCCAACCTGGGTCTTTTCTTCCACCTTGTGTATGTTGTGAGTTTGAACTGAACCCCAGAAAACGGCACATGAATTCCTGTATATTTCTGTGATGGCTTTTTTTACCAACATCTTTCATTTGAAGTCGAAGATACTTAGTCTCCTCTGCAAAAGGAAGAAGCCTTGTACTAAACTAGCAATTTTCGGCATCTCCTTCTGGTTAGCTTTGGCCATGAAAAAGATCATTGTGTAGATGAGACTGCCCTAGAGCGTTGCACAACTGACAAAATTACATTGGTTGCACATAGCAGAAACTGTATTTTTTTAAAAAACAAACCCCCAAAAAACAAAACAACAGCAAAAAATTGCTCACAGGGAAGAAAGAACTGAACAGGCTAGATATCTCTAAAATGCAAAGGTAGAAAACATTTAAACCTTTAGTGACTGAGGATTGCCATGCTCCACCTACCCTCCTTTCTCTGATTTAGAGCTCTTGCGCTCCTGTCATTTTCAGTTCAGAGTAATAAGAAGCAGTTGTAAATTGATTTCGTGATAAAGCAGTCAGACAAAACATTGTGTTCTGAAGGAGTGCCTTTTATTGGCAGGTTTTCCTGGTTACATACTTCTCAACTCACCTTGACTCAGTGCCCTTGTATTTTTTTTTTTCTGAAAATTCTCTAGAACTGCCGTTTCTAGCAACCTTTCGAGATTATCTCTGACTTTATTTTTAATGCCCCTCAGAGCTCACATTCCTCATGCGTGACTGACAGATTTTTACAAAAATTAAGTGAAGGTTGAAAACATGACATTTCATGGCCTGTATTCCCCCTGGCCATGTTCTTCATGCTCATGGTATGGAAACGTTCTTCAGGATTTGCACGTGAGATGCATGCCCAGGAAAAGCAGAGAAGAGTAAGTCATTATCGCAACAGAGAAAGCAAAGTCCAAGCTAAGAATGAATAAATTTGATTTTTTTTTTTTTTTAATAGAAGGAAAAGTCTGAGCTGTATTCCTGTCAGCAGGTAGCTGCTATGTTGTGCATAGAGCGCATTTGATTTGCTGTGGTTTTACAGACCTCTTCCCGTTTTACTCTCTGTCACTAGACACTCCTATGTACAGCAGTAGCACCAGTGTTGCAACCGGAGTGAACTACCCACAGTGTGGGTGTTTGGTCTTCCACAAGCTTATGCTGGAAAAAAACATGTGCTGTGCTTCATCTGTCAGTGAAAAATTACCATGAGGATATTTGTGCCTCCTCCTATTTTCCAACAGAGTTGATTCAAGGTGTTGCTGCTGGGACGTGGGATTTTTTTGTTCTACTACATGTATATGCAGCTTTTCTGATTCCTCTGATCTCTAAGTAAATGGGGCTTTTGAATCATAATGCAGCCCATGAAAGGCATCAGTGGTCTGTCAGTGGCTTGAGGATAACAACATTCAGGAAGTTAAGAAAATTTCCCGATCTGCGCTTGGGTCTCTGTATGAGCTAGGCTAAAGATACACCTGGGAAACTGCTTTAGGTATTTTTACCTGTAGCTGGGGCTTGCTGATTCAGTGAAGTCTGTGAAAAATTAACTGAGAGTCCATTTGAGTATGGCTCAGTTGGTCAAACTCGTAGCCTTGGGCCAGAAGGTCATGAGTTCCCATCCTGCAGTGGACCTCCAGCTCGTGCTTGCTGCTGACTTTGCAGCGCTGCCCTTCAGGGAGGGGTGGAGGAGCTGCCCTTTGGCTTGATCCCACCAGGAGAGAGATTAAGCTGGGGTTCGCCAGCCTGTGATTCAAGGGTACTTGAGAGAATAGAGGGAATAGCTGAGGAAGGCAAGGGAAGATTTTAGTGGTCTGCCGTACAGTTTTCTCTTCAGTAAACCGCAACCAAATTAAGGGCGATGGGTGTACTGATCCTTGACTGCAAAATCTGTCTCTGTACTGTGAAAGCTATTCTTGGGAAAGCTGCTGTATAATTTGGTTAGGAAAGTGTTAATCCTTCTGCCATATGTCCTGAATGCTAGTGAGTAAGACATCACTTGAGGGTTTGTTATGTTTCTTCAATGCTTCTGCCTTTTAGTAGAAAACAGGAGCGATCTTGGTTTATGATTTGAGATTCTTTGACGTACAGCAGGCTGCGTAAGTGGATAGAAAATGACTGTTGTGAGAGTGTGATCTGTATCTGTTTTGTTCTTACCAAAGTTTCCCCTTCAACATAGGGATTGCTAATTGCCCTGAATTATTGCTCCTGTTTTCTGATATGTATGGGCCCATGGAGGAGCAATCTAAAGTGACCAATCAAAGAGGAAAGAGTTTGAAAAGTAGGACAGTATGGAACCATTAATCTCGGGCACTATCTCCAAGAAGTCAGTGTACTAAGAAGAGATAGCTGTTTGGAAGTAAAGTGTTCATTTATGTTCCCAAATTCCAATATTGCTGTTCAACATGGCCAGGAGGGGTCAAATAATACATTATAACCAATATATTCACCACACAGCAAATACTGCTCCCTATTCCATTGGAGTGCCACTGTTTGGTTAAAGAGTCAATCTGAAACAGAAGAGACTTTTTATTCCCTTCCTGGTTCCCGATATTATAATTAGAAGCATCCAAACTCTTAGCATAATTGAACATCCTGGGATGCCTGGGTGAATAGCTGGGTGGGTTTTTTTTGTTTTTTTTGTTTTTGTTTTTTTTCCAAACTGAAGTCTTTGAACAGCTAGATCTTTGCCCTTGTTACAACTTTTCCTCCCTTCTGTTCCTGAAGAGAAGGTCTAGGAGTGGCCCAGCCATCAGCACCACTCACCTGCCTGGGATGTGGGAGAGGAAACCTCAGTAAATGGGGTTGGGTGGCAGTGCTGAGTCCCACCTTGTTGTGGGTGCTAATGCAGGAGGATAACAGAGCCCAGACCTTAACCTTGCGTTCAAAATTAATGTAGCCCTGGGCTACAGGCTGAAGGACATTGGGTTGAGATTCATTGTTAGTTTGCTGCCTTTCCC